CGATAGGTTGTTATCATTGATTATAGTTTCACAGTCACCATCACTGAGACTTGCTTTCCATTTCACATTTATTCCTTGAATTTACATTTCACCAGCTGCGGTAGTGGGATATGAATTTACATTCCCAGGAAACAGATTTGGATTACATGGTCAATGAAAGTACCACCAACATCATCACATGTCATACCCTTAATATTTAAATACAATAACTTTCTGATTCTGGGTCATCTGCTGTAGACTTTATGGTCATCGCAGAATATATTAATTGGAATAGCAGTAACATCCAGGTCATGGCCATGGATTTGGAAGGTGCTGTCTGAGGATCTTTGGTGAATTTCTGCAGTGCATCTTGTAGATAGTACACACTGCTGGTACTGAGTGTCGGTGGTGGAGGGAGTGGATGCTTGTGGATGTGGTACCAATCAAGCGGCTGCTTTGTCCTGGATGGTGTCAAACTTCTTGAGTGTTGTTGGGGCTGCACTCATCCAGGCAAGTGGGGAATATTCCATCACACTCCTGCCTTGTGCCTTGTAGATGGTGGGACAGGCTTTGGGGAGTCAGGAGGTGAGTTACATTGTACATTGATACAGAGATACTGAGTGCAATGAAGAAATTGACTCTGAATGACTTGTGATTTGTTTTCAATATCAGAAATCCCAGATGTCAACTGGCCATGCCTGTTGTCTGATAGACTCGAATGGAGACTGAGAAGAGAGACTGTGTATTTCTGGTCAGCTTACTCACATTGTGACTGTGACAGAAGGCTACCCCTCGCAGGATCTGAATCAGGTATCTCCTGACTTTGTCGTGCGCCAACCCATTTGGACACTGCTCCAGATCATCCAACAATGTGTGGTCGACAAATTCAAAAACCAAGTACCAGCGTCTCCTCCTGTTGCACACTTCGAGCAGATTGACCAGGTTCTCATGTTGGAGTTGCTGTTAAAGGATGAAGGGGAAAAGAAAACAGTTTGTCCTGTGGAGATTTCCCATCTGGCTCTGAAATGTGACCACATCTACAGCCAATCCCAGGATATCTCTCCAAGGATAAAGCGACTGAGGGTGATGGGAAGAGGGGAGATTCATGTACAGCACAAACATCACATGGTGCGGGGCTGAATAGCCTACTTCTGTGCTATAAATGGGATGAAAAGTGAATCATCTTGAAGAACCCCCGCAATACTGAGCGAAAACTCTCATTATCACCATTCCAACAAAACAAATAAACTGAAACCCCTTGTCACTGAAAAAAATCGAAGCAACAAGCAATCTGTATTCTAAAGCCTGTTCAGGCTTGTCCAACTGAACATGAACACATTTAACTAAGAAATTAGAGTAACTTCAACAACACATTAACCAGGCTGGTCATTAAAACTCTAGCAGAGCTCTGGTACATATACAATCAGACTGTCAGAATCATTAACAGTACAAAAAACAAGTTTGTTACACGTAAATACCCAGCAGTTAACATTTCTGTCTTTACAAACATCATGAAATCAAAAGGCACAGAAAGAGCCCAAATTACCTGCGAAGGAGTAATCCAATTCTGTAACGAAATGGGGAACTTGCCCGTGAAAACAATTTTCATGGGATTAATCTTCACATTTTCGCCACCAAAGTGGATAGCCTCATAATTATCCACATTACATTGCAAATTTGTAGATGACACTAAGCTGGGGGGCAGTGTGTGCTGTGGGGAGGATGCTATAAGGTTGCAGGTGACTTGGACAGGCTGGCTGAGTGGGCACATACTTGGCAAATGCAACATAATGTGGATAAATGTGAGGTTACCCAGTTGGGTGGCAAAAACAGGAATGTCTGAATGTTGGCAGTTTAGGAAAAGGTGAGGTGCAATGAGACCTGGGTGCCATGGTGGAACAGACGCTGAAAGTTGACATGCAGGTGCAGCAGGTGGCAAGGAAAGCTAATGACATGCTCTCCTTCATAGCGAGAGGATTTGAGTATCGGAGTAAGGATGTCTTGCTGCAGTTGTACAGGGCCTTGGTGATGCCACACCTTGAGTACTGTGTGCAATTTTGGTCTCCTGGTCTGGGGAAGGACATTTCTCGCTATTGAGAGAGTCCAGCGAAGGTTCACCAGACTGATTCCCGGGATGGCAGGACTGACATATAAGGAAAGACTGGATCCATTGGGCTTGTACTCACTGGAATTTGGAAGAAGGAGGAGTGGGGGGATCTCATAGAAACATATAAAAACCTGATGTGATTGGACATGCTAGATGTGGGAAGAATGTTCTCGATTTAGGGGAAGGCCAGAACTAGGGCTCATAGTCTAAAAATAAGGAGTAAGCCATTCAGGACTGAGATGAAGAGGAATTTCTTCACTCAGAGAGTTGTGAACCTGTGGAATTCTCTCCCACAGGAAGCTGTTGGGGTCAGTTCATTAAATATATTCATGAGGGAGCTGGACGTGGCCCTTGCGGCTAAAGGGATCAAGGTGTGTGGGGAGAGGGCGGGAATGGGATACTGAGATTGCATCATCAGCCATGATCATATTGAATGGTAGTACAGGCTCAAGGGGCTGAATGGCCTACTCCTGAACCTATTTTCTATGTTCCTATGTTTCAATCGAACTTTACCTCAAAGTGCTTTCCCGGGGTAGTGGGATATCATTTTAGTTATACAACAAAACATAGTAATGAAGGAGGGATGTTAGACAAACACTGCAATGCTAGGCTCCTTACTGGGTCTCTCACTTCCTGAGCTGGCAATCAGTAACCAAACAATCTCTGACCAGCGACACAACTGTTGAGTAATTTCTCCCCATCTCTGGTTTAAATCTGCCATCCCTTTGTCTAAAACTATGCCCTTTCATTCTAGAATGTCCCACATGAGGAAACATCCTCTCTACGTCCACTTTGTCCAACCCCGTTAGCATCTTATATCCCTCAATTAGATCTCCTCTCATCTCACCAATTAAAGGCCTAAACTGCTCAATCTCTCCTTATAAGACAAACCTTTCACCTCTGGAATCAATCTAACGAACCTTCTCTGAACTGCCTACAACACAATTACATCCTTCCTCAAGTAAGGAGGCCAAAACGATACGCAGTATTCCAGGTGACTCCCAGATCCCGGGAGTAGGAGATGTCGGGGCAGGGAGCAAATTCAGTGAGGAAAGTTGAGTTGAGGTCACAACTAGATCAGCCGTGATCTTATTGAATGTTGGAGCAGGATGAAGGGGCCGAATGGACTACTCTTGATTCATTTGTTTGTGTATTCCATCTCTTCATCTTTTAAGTACCTCAAAACCTGCCCATTCAGTGCCTGGTCTCCTAACTTCCCTTTGCTAATTTCCATGGAAACCTCTCCAGTCTGGAATACATGGGACCAAGTCATTCCCAGATTTTGGAATATTCTGAAATAGAGGCTGAACTGGAATGGTTTGTGCACTTGAAAACATCACGGATATAGGTCTTTAGCTGTGACATGAACCCATTATAGAGCAGTGATCGATCAGTTCTGTGAAAGATTGTCAGTCTGAACCATGAACTCTGTTTCTCTCTCTCTCCGCCAGACCCACGCAGTGTCACCAGCTGGATTTTAAAATCCGACCTGCCATCACATCTACTCCCAGGAAGGGCAACAGCGATAGCATCACAGGAAACACCATCGCTGCCAAATTCTCCTCAAGGAAAGAAAGTCCTGAATTTCTCTAGCACCTTTTATAGACACAGGACATTTTATACACTTTACAGCCAATGAAGTTCTTTTTAAAAGACCAGTCTGTTGTAACATAGCAGCTGATTTTTGCACAGAAACTTTCAGCAAAGTGATCATGACCAAATTAACTGTTTATTGGGATAGATATCGGCATGGGCACTGGAGACAACTCCCTGCTCTTCCTCAAAGTGGTGCTAATGTGACCTTTCCCATCCATTTGAGTGGTCGGGCATGGCTTGGATTTAACTCTTCATGTGAAAGGCTGCACCTTGAGCATACAGGGCCCCCGCAATGCTGTACTGAGGGCATTCACACAAGCTGCAGTGCTGAGGTTTGAATGTGCTGCCTTTTCCTACTTCACAGGGAAGAAAAACAGCTAGACCCATAGCTGTCTGACCTCAGAACATTGTCATTCTCTCATCATTAGAGTGAAGCTCTTGTAACTCCTGACCAAACCCTCAGCCCCTCAGCTGAATATCTTTCTCCATGGGATCAGGGCTAGGAATAAACATGACATCTGCAGGATTGTCCAGCTTTGCAAGAACAAGCAGAAAATCTTGTAACAGATTCCACGCAAATTCTGAGTCACATTTTGGCACCAACATTTACCTGCTTCTGTAAACGTTTCAAAAGAAAATCCCGTACGTAAACAAAAACCTGAAAGAATCTTATATCTCTACGACTCTATAACTATGGATGCTCTAAATCAGAAACAAAAACAGAAGTTGCTGGAAAATCTCAGCAGGTCTGGCAGCTTCCGTGAAGAAAAGAATCAGAGTTAACGTTTCAGGTCCGGTGACGCTTTCTCAGAACTGAAACGTTAACTCTGATTTCTCTTCACAGATGCTGCGAGACCTGCTGAGCTTTTCCAGCAACTTCTGTTTTTGGTCCCGTATGGAAACAGTTGCCTTTTATGGGACTGAAGATACTGATGTGTCACCAACTTTTAAATAAAAAACATGGATTCATCGACTGATCAATTTCCCAAATGAACAAAGATTACAAAATCTTAGCAATTCAGACTTACAGCTTGAAGGGACACCAGGCAGTGTGGTGTTAAAACCATCTTTACAATGCCCTGTCTATATCTGTCAAAGACACTGGCAAGTGGACTGTTTGCAGCAATAATAGAACAATAGACTTCGTTTTCCAGTACTCAGTAGCAGAGGTGTAACAGTTACTTTGTCATGAATCTGTATAACCCTTTCACTGAACCAGAAACGTTAACTCTGATTTTTTTTCTTCACAGATGCTGCCAGACCTGCTGAGCTTTTCCAGCAACTTCTGTATTTGTTACTGATTTACAGCATCTGCAGTTCTTTTGGTTTTTATTTAGTATCCAACTCAGGAAAGAATTGCTTAAGTGTGCGAATGCTAGCTGCTTTACTCCTATAACTGTGGTCATCACTGCTCCAGCCTGAAGAATCATTTGTATCTTAAAAATAATCATTACACGTTCAGGTAAATAACTGGATGATAACTTATTTGTACAATTAGAACCAGGCTCAGCAGGCAGAGTAGTAAGAAAAGACACCTTTCTTTTCTTAGAAATGAAACCCCTGCTTGCTCTGATTACTTGAAGCTGATATGAGTGTAATATCTAGGGATATACCAGACCTGCTTTCTAGAGAATATGACTGGATGGGACTTGTTCCAGTTTGAACATCACTTCAACCACAATTACATTGCAGTCGTGTAAATACCTTTTCGTTACAATTGTTGATCTTTGCATTTTTGTAGGATTCTTGCAGTTATACAGTGCATTCTCATATCAATAATAAATTACAGAGATAGTAGGAACTGCAGATGCTGGAGAATCTGAGATAACAAGGTGTAGAGCTGGATGAACACAGCAGGCCAAGCAGCATCAGAGGAGCAGAAAGGCTGAAGTTTCGGGCCTAGACCCTTCTCCTTTAGAACAACAGTGGATTGTTTATCATGGGCAAACTCACCCACTAACTCCCAGGAGTATCCCACACTGCCAGTAAACTTGTTGGGTTTTTTTTAATCCATTCATTTGGCATGGGTGTCACTGGCTGGGCCCAGCATATATTACCCGTCCCTAGTTGCCCCCTTGAGAAGGTGGGGGGTGAGCTGCCTTCTTGAACCGCTGAAGTCCATGTGCTGTAGGTTGACCCACAATGTCCCTTAGGGAGGGAATTCCAGGATTGTGACCCAGTGACAGTGAAGGAATGGTAATATATTTCCAAGTCAGGATGGTGAGTGGCCTGGAGGGGAACTTGCAGGGGGTGGTGTTCCCATGTATCTGCTGCCCTTGTCCTTCTAGATGGAAGTGGTTATGGGTTTGGAAGTGTATTCCAGACCCTAACGACTCGCTACATGAAAAGGTTTTCTCATATTGCCACTATCTCAGAAGATGGTGTCAGTGGATTCAGACCCTGCCTCAGCGAGAAAGAGAGACTCACTCTGCCCATGTCTATCTCTGGAAAGCCAATCACTATTGCTATCAGGTAGCTGTTAGTTATCATTTGTGAGCTCGCTTACCTTTAGCAACCTAATCTCCCGCATGGCAATTTTTTTCACCATTTTGTCATCATCGTCCTCCAGGAATTTCTTGATGGCAACAATTCTCCCATTTTCCTTGTTCCGGGATCTGATTACAATTCCATAGCTGCCTTCTCCCACCAGACCCAGGTGTTCATATTTCTCCATGTTGTTCTTGTTTACCTGTCAGCTGTGAGCAAACAAACACTCACATGAAAGCTCAGGGTTTAAATGTAATCTGGCTTTTTCCACGATACGAGCCAAGCAATGCAGTTCATTTCACACATGTCGAATTATTAAGCAGAAATGTTAAATGTTTGTAGCACAACGTTATAGAGGCAGTGCAGTGAATGTTTACCAGACTGATTGCTGGGACAGCAGGACTGATGTATGAAGAAAAACTGGACCAGTTTTAGAATCCCTACAGTGTGGAAACAGGCCATTCTGCCCATTGAGTCCACACCAACCCTCTGAAGAGCGTCCCACCCAGATGTGTGCTATCCCTGCACTTCCAATGGCTAACCCACCCAGCCTGCACATCCCTGAACACTATGTGGTAATTTCCCACAGCTAATCCACCCTAACCTGCACATCCCTGGACTGTGGGAGGAAACCCGCACAGAAACAGACAAACTCCATACAGCCAGTCACCTGAGGCTGGAATCAAACCCAGGTCCCTAGCACTGTGAGGCAGCAGTGCTAACCACTGAGCCACCGTGCCACCTACATTCACTGGAGTTCAGAAGAATGAGGAGGATTTCGTAGAAACCTATAAAAGTCTGACAGGACTAGAGTGTAAACACAAGAAAAATGTTCCCAATAACCAGGGAGTCCAGAACCAGGGGTCATAACAAGACAGGGAGGCCACTTAGGACTGAGATGAGAGGAAATTTCTTCATTGTGGGTCAACCTACAGCACATGGACTGCAGCGGTTCAAGAAAGCAGCTCACCTCCACCTTCTCAAGGGGGGCAATTAGAGATGGGCAATAAATGCTGGGCCCAGACAGTGATACCCATGTCCAATGAATAAATTTTGAAAATCCCAGAGAGTGGGAAGCTTGTGGAATTCTCTGTCACAGAAAACAGTTATGGCTAAAACATTGAATGTTTTCAAGAAGGAGTTAGATACAGTTCTTAGGGCTAAAGGTTACAGGGAGAAAGGGGGAACAGGGGATGGAATTGGATGATCAACCATGATCATATTGAATGGTGGAGCAGGTTTGAACGGCTGAGTGGCCCACTCCTGCTCCTAGTTTTGATGTTTTTATGCTTCTATTACAAAATGAATCACTGTGATGCAGCATAAGCAACCTCAGTGCGTTGCTAATGGGAGAGGTTTCCTCACAGAACCCTCAGCTAAGGTTCTGCTGGGGTAGAGGTGAGCCCTTCAATAGTCCCGTGAGGAGAAGCTGCTGAGACAAGGTCTCGTTCATTGGACAGTGATGGACAAGTCCCAGCGACATTAAAGAGACGATGAGGAAAATCTTCCAGACTTTGGGCTGTTCTCTCCCCAGGTCCACAAACCATCATCATAGTGGGTGGGGCTTCAGGCGTTCCTCAGTATTAACCCTTTCTGACCCTGACACTCCTAAAGAAGATGGAGAATGAGTCAATAGAGATGAACAGAATGGATACCCAGAGGCTAGTCAGGCTGGAACTCTCAGGAACAATTGAGCTGGCTGTACTCCCCACTCTTGCTGGAGTAATGAAGATTGAGGTGTGCCCTTATAGAGGTAGTGAACATTATGAAATGATTTGTTAAGATGGACATGGAGAACATGGTTCTGTTTGACAGAGAGACTAGATTGAAGGCACATTGGTATAAGATCATAGAACCATAGAATCCCTAAAATGCAGAAAGAGGCCATTCAGCCCATCAAATCTGTACCAAGTCTTCAAAGAGCATCTCACCCAGACCTAGTCCCTACCCTATCCCTGTAACCCTGCATTTCCCATGGCTAATGCACCTAACTTGCACATCTTTGGATGCTGAGGTGATGGTGATGAGTTAATCCAACTGGGAATCCAGGAGAGACATCCTGAAGTTTTCCAGAGAATGGGAACAATGTAGAAATTGCTCTCTCAGCGGGTGGTTGTAGTTTATGATTATTGGCACAGTTAAAAAGAGAGCAAGAGAGGCTGATATTTCCAAAACATCTTTCTTGATCTCCAGACACCTCAAAGTACGTTTCAGCCATTGAGATAGTTTCAGAGGATTGTCACTGTTGTGATATAGAAAATCTGACATTGCATGTAATGTGTGATTGTCCGATGGAAAGAATATTTGAAGATGAGGACCTCAGGGAGATGAACCTATTGATTGTGGTGATACTATGGCTTTAAAGGGTCTATTTTATCTTGTTTTTGCTGAAGAAAGATTTCAAGGCAGAGGTACCAATCAGTCTCTACAGAACCAGTCAAGTAAGCAGCTCTTGATGCCTTGGGGAGTTTTAAAAGTTAGAACAATAGAAGCAGCCTGAAGGGGTGTGGTCAAGCTCTCACAGAACCAGGAGTTTTAGTTTCTTAGTTTTTCAGTAGCAGATGTTGCTGGGTCTGTTGCTGCAGTACATCTCTCCTTGCTACAGTCCGGCTTTTCCTCCTGGGCTGCTGGAGTTACATGAGAGACAGTCTGTTTTCTGAATTTGCCTTTTGCCAAGGATGTGTTTATGGGATGGTACCATATTGGAACAGTTACTTAGTAACAGGTGCTGTATCTGTTATTCTGTTAAGTATTTCCAATGGAGTTATAGCTAAGCTGATTCTTTTCTTTATTCTTCCCTTTGTTGCATTCTAACTATAGTGTATGAATAAATTGTTTTGCTTAATGTCCAGTAGTTTGACCAATTGAACTGCATCTAGAATGCAATGCCTTACATTTACCTTTAAAATAAGAAAAAGTTAGAGTCTAGGCTATCTTCTTGATATACATTGGTCTGGTCCATAACATTGTTAATTGGGCAGTAGTCAATTCTGTGCTTGTATATGCTTCAGAGATTGGGGTGCCCTCTACAAAGTACTGGAGCATGCCAACACGATCCTCCAAATCCAGTGGCAGTGAACACAGTTCGAGAGTAATGGGCTTTCCCAAACTCAGGAAAGAATGGGAATTATGGCATAAATCATTCCAAACCAGCTCCACACAGCAGGACACCTCACTCCCGAATCTGACACCAGATTCCTGAATCAACTGCTCCATGTGGAATCTGCTTGAGATGGGAGACTCCCAGGAGGAACTGTGGAAACATGTTAGGAATGTCCTCAGAGCCTCCCTGAAGAGAGCAAACAGCTGTTGCCAAGAGCCGGGGGGAGCTGGGCTTGTGACTGATCGAAATGGAGAAGCTTCACTGCAGAAAGCTCTGAACACATCAAGAGAGTTTGTGAGGAATGTGCAGGAAAGTTAAATGTACAAAGCCCCATGACCCCAGCAACAGAGACATCCATCAGCTGCAGGCCCAAAGCACACAGAACGCACAGCTTGCACGCCACTCACATCAGGCTGAGGTACAGTGGGAACACACCTTCACCAATGCTGAGGGGCAACACACAGAAAAGGTAGCAATCACCTTCCACAGAGCAAGATCCCACAAACAAACAAGTGATCAGGGCCAGAACATTAGTTTTTGTGCTGTTGATTGAGGCGGGTAAATATTATTCAGGACTATAGGGTGAACTCCCCTGGTTTTTTACAAATAAGTACCATGGGAAATTTCCCATCAAACCAAGAGGGCAGTCAGGCTTTGGTTTATCATCTCACTCTGACAGTGCGGCGCTCCCTCAGTACTGACCCTCCGACAGTGCGGCGCTCCCTCAG